AGCGAATATGCATTTTTATAATTTTATTAATACGCGATTTAGATTTTTAGACCCCTTAACCTACCCCCAAACCTAAACCTACCCATTTTACAGCAAATATGCATTTTTATCATTTTATTAAGCAATTTAGATTTTTAGACCCCTTAACCTAGCCCCAAACCTTAACCTACCCATTTTATAGCGAATATGCATTTTTATCATTTTATCAATAAGCGATTTAGATTTTTAGACCCCTTAACCTAGCCCCAAACCTTAACCTACCCATTTTATAGCGAATATAAAAGGATATAAAACGCAACTGACCGAAATATGCAGGAAAATAACCATTGTAGTAGCAATAGCATTAAAATATTTTTATATTCGCTAATCCACTCCTAGTTATAAACCTAAACATTTCTGTACAGTATAAGAAAAACATGACAGACAGATAAATGCAATTGCAATCATTTATTTATTGCAAAAATGTCAAAAGCAGTACCAAAAGTAACCCAAATCACGATGCGTTGCAGCCGCAGTCCTCTCTGGCGGATTACAGTAGGTTTGTGTGGGGTGCAGAGCATAATTTATGTTGTTAATTGCTGAAAATATTATCCAGATTATTTTCCCGATCCACTCGTGAAGGCGTCTCGCATCATTCAAACACACCTCAAAAGAAACACGGCATGTCGCAATCTGTGACGAATGCAGGCAAGAGCCAATGAGCGTTCGATTATCGTTCGATTATCCTGTCGTTTGAAGCAGCAACATCTGAATTTGTAAAGAGCGCGTGCTCGGGATGGAGATGAAGATGGCCGAATAAAGGCTTGGATTTGGGTCTGTTCCTCGCAGTCGTATGGATTCTGAAGATTTGGATTACAGCGCACGAATAAAAAAAATGTCATTTCGTAATTATGTTGCGTTTTTGGTGTATTTTATAGTTCTATTGTCAGTCACAGCATGTTGGAGAAAATGCCTTTTGTGGCCCATGGCAAACAAAGTAAGCATTACATGACAAGTGAAGGTTAAATGATTGCATAAATGTTATTTATTTTAAGGTTTAAAGTGAAGTCTTGTTTAACATTATGTAGGCCTATTCTTGGAAACGAGCTGGCAGCAGAAATCACACAAAACGAAATTTGATCATTTCATATTAAGTAAACGAGTAATCAATTTAATATTGCAATTGAAAACAAGGTAATTGATATGACAACTGAAAACAACTAATAATAAAATTAATGCCGCGATATTCATAAGGATTAATTTTTAGGTGTCGTCAATAATGTTACATCAGTTTTGTACGTTTAAATGCCGAAAATCCTTAAGTATTTGTATGTTTAAATGCCGAAAATACGTAAGTATTTGTACGTTTAGATGCTGAAAATACGTCAGTATTGTACGTTTTAGTACCTGTAAAAACGTAAGTAAATGTACATTTTATAGAACCACATTTTACGTAAAATACATACGAATTATCATGAGATCACGTTGGCTAAATGACTACATGACAAGTCGTGATTAAAAACATAAAGACACTACCTTTACATTCATTACATGATAACATAAAAATCACGTACAATTTATGCTCAAAAACTGTATCTTTGGCAGAATGTAACAGTTCTGCATCCTATTCAGCGCTTGGCATCTATTTAATTGCCATGAATTGGATTGTTGAATCGGAGCAGATTGATTCAGAAAGTGATTCTGGCATGCAATTTCAACAAACTCTCTGAGAATCTGAAACCACTATAAATAGATCATTATACACCTAGAAAATTGAGACGGGCTCAATGAAAACAATCCAAAAAAACTTTGATTTGATTCGACAGGCTTGAAAAATATCTAATTTCTGACACAATATCAATGTCAGAGCAGCTGGCTTTTAATTCAATTTTATGTGTGGCTCTGGACTGTATAATGGCTGTTTGAAAATGCAGAAACTGTTCTCTAACACTGATAAGTGTCAGATACACATTGTTAATGCGTGCTGTCGTATCAAACAGACACAGAC